GTAATTACCTGTGTAAAAACGTGTAAGATACATATGTCTGTTAAATAAAATCACACTAGGTAAGGCTCAGCTAGTTGAGCTAAAAAAAAAAAAAAAAAAATATTATAAATTGTTAAAATTACTTTAGATAAATATTAATATAATAATTAACTCTTTTCATTAATCATTTTATCAGCTTAAAAAACAGATATTTACAAAAAAATTTTTTTCTTTTTTTAATAATAAAATCTATATACTTTTTTTAATATATTCCTTTTTGAAAACTAATATCTTTATTTATTTATTTTTTTTTCTTCTTTAAAAAACTATATATTTTAATAACAAAATAATAAAATTTTATCTATTTGATTTATGGCAAAAATATTTTATATCAAAAAAATATTTTCTACTATATTCTTCTTAAATCTAAAACTTTAGAAAATAAACCATTAATAAATGCATTTTTCAAGCTTTATAAAAATCTTGAGTCCATTATAAATAAATATTTTAAGCTAAGGTATATTAATAAATTAATAAAGCTACCCTCTTAAATATATAATTTTTTTTCATTAATTATATATATCTGTAATAGTACTTTCAAGTATATTAAAAAATTTTCAATTTTTCTAGAAAATTTTGTTTACCTTAGTTTAATACTGAATTTTTTATTATATTAGAATTCTAATTGATAATTGACTAAAATTTTAGACTGGTTAATTGACATATAAAAGAAATATAAACAAGATATATATTTTTTACTATTTTATATCATATTATACAAAATTAATAATGTAATTGGATATAGCAAAAGAACAAGATGTTAAAATATTCTCTTATTAAAAGTGGTTTGAAATCTTTTTTTTCTCTTCTTGTGTTGGTTTATTTTCTCTTTAAGATCAAATAAATTCATAATTAATTTAGATAGATTTTTATTATCAGAACAAAATTTTTTTTTCTCTTTTATTTTTAAAAAACTAAAATTTTTTATCTTTAAAACCATAGTATAATTATGTTAAGGTAACAATCAAGAATGTTAACTAACAATAATTTTTTAGTTAAGATTAGTAAAGCATTTTACTAAAGAAAAGCAATTTATTTATTTCTTATAATCTTATCTAAAGAGTCGAAAAAATTTAGAAAGTTTAAGATAGTTAATATCACATAGTAATAGCTTAATAAACTAATTTTCTTATAGTGAAATAATTAATAATAATTAAATTATGTAAATGATATGATGGTCTTAATATTAAGGATTCAAGGATTATATATAAATTTATTAGATTTAACAATAAATATATTACAGCTTATAAGAATATTTAGCGATTATATAAAGTTGATTAATTTTATTTAAAAAGATTAATAAATATAATGGCTTATAGCCTAATTAGAAGTAAAAAAAATAAATATTTTTATAATAAGAATTGAAATATTAATTATAATATTATTATAAATATAAGTTAAGTTAATAGTACTATTAAAAAATTAATTTATAATATTTATTATTATTATTATTATTATTATTATTATTCTTGAAATTTTTATTTTATTTTATATTGATAAAAAATAAGATATTTGCTATACTGTATTGAAATTTTCAAATAAAATTATAGAATATATTATTAATTTCTCTTTTGACAAGTCTGTCACTTTTTCAAAACAATTCTCATATAATATCAGATAGATTTTTAGCTTCTCTACTTTTGTACTTGAGGCATATGATTTGTTTAATTAAGTTTTAATAAATCTTTCTTTTTTTTTCTGTTATTTGCTTCTTTGATCAGTATTTATCACTTTTCTTTTGTGATTCTAGATATCTTTTCTTGTGAAAAGTATTGGATTAGATAAGTTAATTAAATTTTACTCACTTAAGCAATATCAATTATATATCTTAATTAAAAAGTTTTTAATTAAGAAATGGCTTTTCTTATTATGGTTCTTTTCTACTAGATTCGTTAGACACTTTGTATCTATCCATTTGTACTTCGGGTCAATCCGAACATATTTGTTTGAATAAACTTAAAATATACGGCCTGATTAGGTGTAAAAAAAAAAAATTATGGTTTTTTTCTACTATTATTCTATTTATTATTATTATTCTTTTTTCTTATTTCTTTTCTTTTTCTTTTTTCTCTTCTTTTTTTATATAAACATGACATGTTTCCATTAAGCTATTATTGTATTATGTAGTCTCCACTAAACTAAAATAAACTATTTTAATTAATAAGTTATCTGAAACTATAACTAATTTAAGTTTTTATAATTGCATCATAGTTTAATATGCCATTATAAACTATAAACTATTTACTACTAAAAATTAGGGCATATAATATTGAAACATATTTGTATAGTCATATCTATAACATTTTCTATCAACAATATAAAAGCTTTAATAGATATTTTAATTCAATTATAAATATTAAATATAAAAAAAATATTGATTATAATTTTATAAGCTAGTTTTATTACTTATTATATATTTGTTATTAATATAATATTGTTATTTGAATGAAATATAAGATTAATAAAAACTATTATTTACTTAGTTTCTTTTTTTATTAAAGAGCAACTGAAAATATAAAAAATATTTTTAAATAAATGACTATATCTTGAACAATATATGTTTTATATTATTAGATATAGATAATAAAAAAATTCTTATATTGAAAGAATATCTAAAAGTAACTAGACCTATAGATCCATAGCTCAGTGGTTAAAGTGCCATAGGTCTGTATTACAAGCTACAGGTTCAATTCCACTAGGGGCTAATGTGATTCCCCAAAAATAATGTGAAAACCTGTATGCCATCGGCCTAACCGTATAATAACTGATGCTTTTAATTATAGAAAAACTGGTCTATAAATAGATTGTGATATGATTGACTATCCGAAATTGACTAGGATTATCTTTGACACGATCACATTGCCAGAAATGGTAATAAGAAGAGTAGATCCCAAACCGGTGGAATGCCTTTGAAGGATTCCTAACGGTTGCGTTGAAGGATACTAATCAAGCATTTGGCTGTGCCTCCTTTTACAGACTTTATCATCAGGAGGCCTTGGTGGGAGGTGAAAACCACGGATCACCCTGAAGGATCGAAAACCAGGGTTCAGGATACTGTAATCGACAGCCTGATAATCAGAATACTTTTAATAAAAATTGTTCTGAGAAAAATTAAGACGGATTCGCACATCTTTCTGAAAACAGTAGTTTAGGTAGTAATTATATATAGCATTAAGTTAAATGATATATAGCTAGTCATATATAAATAAGTTAACTATAAACATATATATATAATACTTGTTGAATATATGTGGCAAAACGCCTTAAAAAGTTTAGTAGGAACTAGATGTAGAAGTTTCGTAAAATTTGTACTACTCTATCTCATATACTAAAGCATATATTTCAATAAAAGATGTGGGGGAAAACTGGATAAGAAAATAATAGAATGGTTTGTAGAGTACAAATGGAACACAAATTATAACAATTTTACAAATATCTTATTTATTAACACTAATGGAGCCTTGGCACATTAGTTCTAATCAATTTTCTATAGAAAACTCTATAGAATAAATTTGGTAGCTCAAAGTCGACATTTGGGAAACCCAATGTAGTCCAATATATAAACAATAGAATTGAAATTAGAATATATATATAGGAACACCCTATAATAAATATAAACATTAATATTAATAAAGTATATTGAACAAGACCTGACTAGTGTTTTAAAAAAAAAATATCTAAAAGTAACCTAATTTGAAATACAATAAGATTATTAAACTTGTTATTATAAAATCTTTTCATATATTTGTTAAAAAATTTTGTTATTTTAAAACCAAAAGAATAAAAAAATTAATCAAATGTTTTAAGTATAAACAGGCTTTTATTAATAATATAAGATTAAATAATTTTAAAGATTTTCTTATATTATTTTAAGTAGCTTTTAAATTTATTTTATTAATAATAGATATTTTTAAAAAAATTACATCACTCAAAAACTCTTTCCCATTCACATGTGGCATAACAATCAACCTGAACAAAAAAGATGACAAGCAACTCAGGAAACAGTAAAGTCTCTAACAGACAGACAGTCAAATAGAACTCTTAGATATGAAAGAAGAATAGTCAAAGAAGCTACTCCGCTCAGAACCCAACCATACACAAAGAAATCCAACACCCAAACAAAACAACCACAAACTCCTATAAACCAAAATGACTTCAAACAGTCCTGTCCCCCAACAGTCCCAAACCAAGAAACTTTATATATCCACCAAACAAATGAATATAGCAAGACAGAAGCACAACAAAATACTTCACCCAAAGAAAGTTGAGACAAACAGGTATCAAGAGAACAAGACAGCTAGGGAAAACCGGAAACCAATAGAGATAAGCCAAACCCTAAAACACAGGAAGAACCTCTGCAAAGAAATAACAGAACTATCAGAATCGACGACATAGATACAGAAATGAATAGTGACAGTAAAATGGAACAAGACCAATTATGATTCATCATATTGAAAGGAAAAGGTAGATAAGAAGGCCCCAGGAAGACAAACAAACCAAGATCTATCTTCCCCTTTAATAGAGTGACCAGATATGGAAAAGAAAGATACAAGATAGGAATTGCGGCAGATGAACTTTTAGGAAAAACAACATATCAAAAAATCGAACAGATTATCCTTGCACTTAATTTTCCTAAGGGATTGCTCTCAGTTCGCAGCGAAGGAAAAAATGAAGAAATGCAAATCGTAGCCATTTTTGGTGATCAACAGGCAGCAGATCAAGCAACTACTATCAAATTATCAAATACAGACAACAAGTTTCTTCAACACATGTAATCGTCAAATCTCTAGATCGAAAAAGACAAATCTATCGATCACATGCATCTTCTTGTTAAACCTTCCCTTCATAGGATTATGATCATCACATACTGCAAGTTTTTTATCAAAGATCTCAACAATACGATAATTAACAAGAGGATTTGCCATTGACAAAATAGCAATACAACACTTCAATGGCAATTACTAAAGTTGATCGACATGATCATCTTCAGGATTAACATAAATAATATTATTCCTACAAACACCAAGGTTCACTCGAAAACCTTTAATATACACGTGACCGGTTATATCAAAATGAGCATTCGTCAAGAACATTTCACCAAACACTGACGTCACAGTCCAATGACAATTAAAACTATAACGAGCAGTAATGAGACGACCAACAGAAATCTTGAAGTTAATAACTCCATTAGCAAGAATAGCCTTATGAACATATCCCTGCTTCCTATATTGTTTCCTAGGATAATACCTTTTGACAAACATGTGAGAGATTAGCCAAAAGTCCATATAGGACAATATACAACTCAGTCAAAATGATGTCATCATTATATACGATCAACTACATAGTGAAAATACTATCTATATACTGTATATACGATAGGAATTCACCATATCGCAACTTACTTATTATATTTCCTATAAGACCATTTATATCTATAATATCTCTTTTTCCAATATGGCTTATAATATCTACGCCTAGCATTCTAACTTCTATAATTACTAGGGTACCTACTAGAATACTTACGATAACCCCCGTAATATTAACGACGTGGTACAGTTTTACGATAGTTTCGATTGTACCTTGGATAATATGACATTTGAAATTTATAGAGATAATTACGAACAACAGGTGTATTTATACTTATTTATTAAACACGAAAAAACACGTATGTATGATAAGATTAAAAACAAAACAATAGTTATCAAAAAGTAAATAAACTACAACTCGATAGTTGTGTCACCAGCATTATTGCTTGGTTCACAAACATTACGAAATACATTTCTTTCAAAATGACTATCAATATGACTAAAAACACCATTATCACCTTAAACATAATCATTAACTTTCTTAAACTCTATAATAATATCTAATCTTCTATACAATGCTTCAAATACCATATTTTAATTCTTACGAAAATCATACCACATATCAGGAAATACATTTGATGTTATAATAATACATTCACTATTAAAAACAGTTGTTCCTCCTTTAACTTCAACATTCAAAGGATAACAATCTAAGAGATGGAGAAGAAAATCGAAAGAAAACCATCCATAGAAGTCATCAAGCACAACAACAGAATATTGATAGTATCTATTCCACCAATGATTACGCGACTTTCAAAATGCTGACAGATACTGCTCTATACAATATCGGGATTTTCTGTTATTAGTTTCACCATAGAGGACTTCCACAATTGTCTTTAATTCACGAGGGCGCACGTAAGTCTGAATTGCCTTTTGAAAAACCCTATGATTCTTATACCACAAAGAAAAATTATGTTCCATTAGATCTTGCTTGTTGGCGCCTTCCCTTATCATGGTATGAACTTTATTGAGATCACTACGTTGACCTTGTCCTACTGACGTACCCCATTCCCAGGGTCCTTCCACTCGAGAGTCTTCTTTCTTGCAATATGCAATTGCTTGATTACGTGTTCCTCTTTGTGGTTCCCAATGGGCACATGAAATAACCTTACGTACTCCTCCGAGATGTTTAGGAGTCTTAAACTCAACATACCCCTGGTAGTGTGGGGTACCTAACTGTCCTATTTCTTTTTGTCAAACCATAAAGCGAAGGTCTTGCATAGTTTCGGGATCAAGTTGTTCGGCCAGATTATTAAGAGTAAATAACCAACAACGAGAGCGTGCATATTCTGCCATATAATTTGATTTTTTTGTATATGAAAGATAGCAGACAATAGTGCAAAAGCACCTGTATATATAAGAATTTTATCGTACATACAGTATATGAAAAGATCATGTCAACAAGATCAGTCACATATGTATGTTAATCAGTTTATGCGACACAACACGACACAATACGACACAACGCGTTTCATATAAAATGTTCTAGCCAATCAAATCACTTTGTGCCATTTTTTGTCGATTCTTGTGCCAGGCACAAAGTCTAGAACATTCCATGCAGGGATCGTTATAGTAAAATTGCCTTTTATATCGATACATTTACCATATAAAGTAATGGTACAAAGATCCGGCACGAAGTTGGGGGATAATAGTTATTATTAGTCATTATTTTCATCTTTATCACTATTGTTATTATCATCATTATTTTCATCTTTATCACTATCATTATTGTTATCATTATTATGATTAATCTTAGTTATAGGAACCCATTTAATGATACACCTTAAAATACAGTTCTTAATGATTATATCTAAATCTGTATGTAACAGTTCATGTATCAAAATAAAAGAATATCCTAAGAACAGGATCTATTGTTATTAATAGTAGTAATAATTTAGCGTTAATATCAAGTATTAAATAGTCTTAAATATATTCTTATAAAATACCTTTGTAAATTGCAAAAATAAGAATTGTTATAGAATTACTAATGCTATATATTATGAAATGGTAAACGATCTTTGCTAGATTTTAGTACCATATCGATATATATTATAAACAGTAAGCGATTTTTGTGAACTAAATTATTCAACTTTTTTTTCTCAGTTTTAACTTATGCATAATATAATATTTGTTTTCCTGAATTGTCGCACAATATCTCATAATTTAGGTTTCTTAAAAAGAAACCTTAAAAATCTATGTTTAAAAGTAACTGGCCATTGTGATTTATTATTAAAAATGTTTCAAATGAATGCCAATCACTCAAATTTCATAGAAAAAAATTTACCTCCAGGATCTGCGTGAAAAGTTGTGTGACTGATAATAAAATTATAATCATAAAATATTTTAAAATTATTACTTAATTTTTTAATTTCTTCTAAATATATCTACTTATTTTCATTAATTATAAAATTACAAAAATTAGGATTATAGAGAAAGTGGTGGAAAAAATTAATCAGTAAAACGTAGTACCTTAGCCATGGCAAAAACAAGGTGTCGGGTCACGTGACTTCTGACCACTCCGACCCGATGATATACAGTTTCAAAATTGTATAGCAATCAAAATACAAATGTATGATTATCGTTTTTTATTGATATAAACAAATACAAATTGATATACATAATATTAACGT